AGATCTCTGAATTTCATTTACCATAATGGTTCCCTAGACAACGACAGAGGTAGCATATCCATATCAAAGAGCAGCGTACAGTATCTACAGTCAGGGCAGAAGGGAAGATTTTTAAAAACCTATTTATTAGTACTAGATATTTCTTACGTTATAATCATGCCTTTAGATTACGTACGTAACTAATTTATTTAGTTTCATTGTTAACTCGTCGAGTACCGGTTTTGTAGACACAATTATAGAACAATAGGTTGCGGTCACCGGTGACCGCTTGGTGTTTGACAGTTTAAGGAAATTCATCATAACGCTTTGATTCAGAATATATCTGAAGGAGGATTTATCTCGCCAAACGTTTCCATCTAAAGATACTTAGGTAAACGTTTGAAACGTGTTGCGCAGACAATAAAACAACACCAATAAAGTTAACGTGTGATAAATTCACCCAAATAACCTTGTACATATTATGTACCTTACGAAAACGACAATACAAATATTGAGCTTCATTTAACTTACGCAATTGTTTGAAGAATGATGCCTCACAGTTCGAGACATTCTAGTAAATTCGATGTTCGGTATAATTACCTATAATTATTCATTTTGCACCTTACCACGTTCGCATGCCATTTACCTCTGTTTTCCGTTAAGAATTTGTCGTCTGTGTTTACTTACTTGGCTGTTTACTAACTGTGGTTTTTCATCCAACCTCAATAGGTTCAATGGTACTTAATGGTAGCATAATGGAACAGGCAAATAGATAATTAAATAGGAGAGAAGGTCAGAAGGTTTTAAAGACTGGTCTAGCTTATTTTGTTATGTGATTGCAACGTTTTTCAGTTAGCAGCAGAATTGTCTAAAACATGACTGAAACTCACTCTTAAATTCATAGATTACTAGCTCTTACAAAAGAAGGTACGAACATAAGTTATAAACTTAGGAGTCATACCTGCCTGCTATATAAAATCATGAACAAGCAGTTAACTGTAAATTTTCGAATATATCGTTTCGGAAATGTGCTTAGCAGAAAATAAATTGAGCGTGAAATGACAGCCAGGAGCTGGCAACGCCTTGCTTCACGAATTTGGGTCAATTTTCGTCAGAAGCCGGGACACGGTGCACAGGGGGCCTTCCTTCCGTATTCTATTTATATCTGTTAGCCGTAAACCGAAATAGGTGTTATAATAATAAATATACACATCAATATGGCTTGTCAGGTTGTTGCGTAAGTTACGACGTGCATATTTCAGGATGACATTAAATTTTATTGCTTAGGTATTAAGGTACACACGACAACCGTACGCATGTCGTTGTTGCCTACTACGGCTACGTGATCATCAAGTGAATTGTCATATAATACTCGTGTATTGAGGATATTTCGTGGGATTTATATTATAAATACATAAAACGCTTGTTCGGTTTTTCCCTTTAATTTTGATAAATATTTCGTCAATCAATCGAAGTGTCTTCTCGAGTTCTATGGGATGAATACGTCAGGGAGTGTGATTAGGGTTGCCACCCGTACTTTATAATAAAGTATTGTACGTTATTTAAGGTAATTGTACTCTATACTTTATAAGAATAATAAAGTACACAAAAATACTTTATTTTTGCAAACTTCATTTCTATTAAAGTCGTAAGTATTTTTCGGTACACTTATCGATTCCATATCGATATTTATCGATTTATGTTGAATCGATTTCGCCACTCGCCAGCGCCACTTAGATAATTTCTAGTAAAGATGCAATTGTTTAGTAAAGATACTAATTTAATACAAACTGCAAAAAGCAATAAAAACATATCTATACTTATAATAAATCTGTAGAGAGGTCAATTCTGTACATAAAATATTTTTAGAAAATAACTATCAAGGGGTGGTTAGGGATCGCTACTGATGCCAAAAATGCAATCAGTAAAATTTTTGTCTGTCTGTCTGTCTGTCTGTATGTTCGTTATGGAAACAAAAACTACTCGACGGATTTTAACGAAATTTGGCACAATTATTCTTCATAGTCTTGGGCAGGTTATAGTATACTTTTCATTACGCTACGATCAATAGGAGCAGAGCAGTGAAGGGAAATATTGGGAAAACGGGAGAAGTTACTCCATTTTTTAAGCTTCCGTCGCGTGTACAGGCTTAATAGTTAAAGCTACATAGAAATCATGTATGACAGAAATGTTCTACATAAAATTATCTAAATAATATCCCACAACAGCACATGTCTATCTTTTATGGTTGACTTACAATAACACGTGTAACTCCCGATAGCTTAGCAGTTCGGAGCTTTCTGCTTACATTTGTTTACTCTTACGTTTACAATACTCATCCATAGACTTGACGCTGTAACTGTATGGTCGATGGCTGAAATTAGCTTGATTCGATATTATAAATGTGAAAATATGTGAGCTCATGTGTTTGTGTATGTTTGTTACTGAGTCATATTAAAACGACTGAAGGGACCGGAATGAAATTTTCCCCCTGGGATCGCGGACGAAGCCGCTGGCAGAAGCTAGTTTTTAAATATAATACTAAATAAGAACAAATTGTACTTTATTTTTGTACTATGTACTTTTTTTTCTTACCTATAATCGTCAATGTACTTTAAATACCAAAATAAAAGGTGGCAACCCTAAGTGTGATCAACTTAATAAGACACATTGCATCCACAAACTGTTACATTTCACATTAAGAATTTCGAAATATTCTCAACAAATTATGAAGTGTGGAAATTACTCATCATTCTTAGTATACACTTATACACTAATAAACAAAATGGAACCCTGCTCCGAATATACAAGAATCCGTTTCTTAAATAAAATTTCTGGATAAAGGTAGAAAAATCTGGATTTTCTGGAGTTCAAAAACTCTTGGATTATATAGAGGTAAATAAGAAGTTATTAAGAGTCCTGGCGAACGCATAACACGACTTAATACGTAGGTAGATAGGAATAATAAATTCTGGTTTAGCCACAATGATTGTTTATAACCGTCATACAAATACTTAGAGCTTCTTGCTGCTAAGAATGCCATAAACCTAAGGATAAATACCTAACTAGATACGTAACTAACCATACAAAGGCCTTTTCGAATTTTCTTTCATTTTCATGTGACATTACTGGTTTATGCTCCAACCAGCGGCTTCGCCCGCGTTCCCAGGCGTATATGATGGTTTTTCATAGATTGATGTGTGGCCGTCGTCATCATTATCATCATAACATCACGCCTTTTATCCCCGAAGGAGTAGGCAGAGGTGCACACAGAAGTAACACATGTGTGGCCGTGTGTACACAATTTACAATTCTACAGTTTTATTATATGTATAGATATAGATTTAGATGGATGTAGACAGAGGTTCATTTATCAAATATGAATGTCCACTTTTGATTATTTCTGATATTAATACCACGTAATAGGAGGATGCCTATTGTCATATTCTCATCTGCGGCTTCTGGGAATTTTTGGAAACCGAAAAATCTCATTACTCATTGACCGACACGGGAATAAATCAGTAAAATATAATGTCAACGAGGCGAGGCTTTCTCACATTTACTCTCGTCTATAATTTGATTTAAAACAAAGTAGTGAAGAGAGGTTTTGTCTAGTTTGAGCTGCATTTGTCTGGCTTCTGAGAGGTGTCGGTTCAGCAGCATACGAAGCCGAAATGTCACTGCTATCTGTTTTGCCATGAAGGGGACTTGAAACATGTTTTTCTTGACATGAATAGCAAAAGCCGTTGCGTTGTTAGCTTGTAAAAATCTAATATTATATTTGTAGTAAGTTTAAGTTAGGTACTATAATCTGATTAAGGTTACCAAACTGGATTTTTTATCTTACCCAAAGAACCACTTTCGCTAGTTACGACTCCCACTAGTCATGTATTACAAGAATAATAGGGTCACTATCTCCATTCTTCAGGTACAATTCCAAACTTCATAATGGAAAATATCGGAAATATAGTTAAGTACTTTACTCGACCCGAGGATCGAACTGGGACCCCTTGTACAACAGTTTTACTTAAGACCTTTGCTCCTAGGTAGTAACCAGAGGCAGCCTAGATACTAAGTATGCTTGCCTAAGTGCCTACCTGACCTACATAGCTACTTAGTACAAACTAAAAGTGCATAATTTGTTTTTAATAACAGTAGTTAAAATCAATATACCTAGTAATTTTTTACTTAGCCTAGTTTAAAAAGTTCTATAAAAAATAAACATGAGTGGCTCTTTAGTGGCTATCATTACGTGTTTAACTTGTCCACTATTCGACCAGTGTTTGTTTGGCGGCGGTTGCCATGGCAACGGGCTACATCGCCCTATCGCATCTCGAGACTAATGGCCTCATGTAAATTAAAGGTAATGCCGAGGTCATCCGCTATTAGAACCTTATTTCCAATATAATTCGTTTCCAAAAGGGTTTTTAGGCCAGGAAGCTAATTGAAGAGACCTTAATTTGTTATACAGGCTTGTTTTATTTACCCTTAGTGATTGAATAGAGGGGTAACGAACGTGGGTGGCATACTTGAATCGTCCAGTTCGTTCACTAATTCGAAAACTTTGATTTTGGTTATTAAAGATGTAATGGTGTCAATCGACAGTGATTTTATAACCAAACATGTTTAGAATATAGGTCCTGCAAGTAACTGGGCGACATGCTATGTGTGTACTGTGTAGGTACTTGATTAACACGTTAAACGCCATAGGGGTCACCGGTGACCGGCGTTAGGGGAGGATTTACCTTCAACAATTTTTTATTGGCAGTCAAAGTCTTAACTGATTTGAAGAACACGTGTTCGTATCACACTGCTTACAAAATCCAGAACTTTAACTTAAACCAATCTGGGAATTATTATCGATAGTATTCTTTTAAAAATCGCCACGTAAAACTTAATATTATAATTGTCCCGCGCGAAAGTTACACTAACAGAAAACACATTATTGAGAACCTTGCTGGTTACATACAAAATAGCGTGTTTTGGTGGGAATGTGACATTGAAACACAAAATATAATAATTAAAACAATTTATTACACACAAACATTACTTTTGATACTTGAATAAAAATGTATAAAACATAAATAAATATTTTAACAACGAGTTACGTGACGCCGGCTAGACCGACTTCAGCAAAAAGGTAGGCAAAGGACTCAAGACTGAAGTAAGCTTCGAATTCCCACGCACTGACGTACACCTCTATCAATTTCTCATCACGACTGTGTGCCACGTTTTCTGAAACAAAATTACAAACTCTAGTTGTCAATTATTGGGTAACTAACTTTGTAATTAAGGTAGAGGAGAGGAACTTGTCCACCCCTTTAAATGGGTACCGTTTTTCGGTCACCACATGCGTGTCATGTATTTGTTCAATCACAGCAGCTGTCGAATATTAAACTTCCAATGATGTGACACTAGTTAATTCCCCATTGGACAAATAACGAGAGGTTCACACTAGCGCCAACTGCTGAGGTAAAATATGGTAGGCCCCATTCAGTGTCGTAATTCCGACTAAAGAACTACATTTGACAGAGACCGGGCAGCCCTTTCTGATAAACCTGAATTAATTAAACTGCGGTCTCCAATCCATCTGACAAGCGTGGAGGTTATAATTATATAGCAAACCCTTAATGTAAAAGAGGCGCATTGCAACAGTGGACTGCCCCGGGCTGTTGATGATTTATGATTAGGATGATGATGATGAAGATGATGATGATGATGACAAAAGACAACTTTTAGGAGAAAAGTAGTTGTAGGAAGCAAAAAATGTAAGATCCTTAGGAAGCAAAACATTTAAGATCCTTGAAAAATGCACTAAGTAGGCAGGCTTTCCAAAATTTATTAAATCTACTCGCGTTACTTAAATCACTATAGGAAGGAGCTTTTTTAATTATGTATCATAAAATTTAGAAGATGGACTACAACTTTAAATATCTAGGACGGAAGTAGGTACAATAGACAATAATAATTACCGAATTTTAAATTAGAAGTACATAAACCAATGAGTACCTACATCTATGTATGTACGTGTATGTCCAAAATATAACTTAAAATCTAGTTTAGAAATATTCTTTTTATACCTACATTTATAGGAATGCGGGTGGAATCCGACACAAAAGCTAGTAACAACGCATGTAATACATAGACGTCACAAATATTTATGTCACAATACACTTTTCCTTGAATACGTACAATTTACGAGTTTGGGAGTTGTGGGCGATAAGCCATGCATGTTTACAGCACCAACGACATTCATAAAAACCTATTTAATTACTCTACACATAAGTACGTCTTCAATTGACGTCATATCTATTTATTTAGGTTTTATAAAAAACAATGAACTTCATGAATCACCCACAAATTAAACAAATTGAAATCATTTTAATCCCCGAAGATAAACGTGATGCTGTTCATATTTTTCTATCGAATGCTTTTCTAGTTATTCCCTTACAGTTAGTAGGAGTCATATACAATTCTATTTGCTTAGTACTTTTCCTTTTAAATAATAGTATAATACAAAAAGAACATGAAAAATCAATATGGAATTAGTTACCTAGGTAAATAATCTTAGGTTGAAGAATTTTGACCTAGAAAACACAACTTTTTGTGGTTATATCGACCACTAATATAAATAGACTATCAAGGAGAATAGTCATTGACACAGACTGAAATTATATTCCAACTTCAAAATCGCTACCCTACAAATGTTTTACTTTTGCAAATGTTTAGATCGATTAAAGGTTGGAGGAGGCCTTTGCCGACTGGCAAACAGATTTCCAAAAACTATACAAAAGCTATATAAGGGATTAAATTTTAAGTTAGTATTTACATTATTTTTAGATTAAGTTTTTAATGTATTTTCCTTTGTAACACTGATCTAAATCTGAATAAAGGCTATATTATTATTATATTATTATTATAAATGTTTAGATCACAGAAATATTATTATACCTATCTGTGGCTTAGCTTATAATTGGAGTAAAAGAAGAAGGCGGCATTTAATATTCCAAGGAAAATAGGGTGGTTTCCTAAATTTTATTTTAATGTCCGTCTGGTACATTAATTTAAAACTTAAGACACGTATTTTTTCTTTTCTCACAAAAAATACTTTCGACGATATAATAATTTGAAATATCGTGTGACGTCACAGCGTGTAGCACGTTATGACGCACGTTTTTGTACCACGTTATGACGTAACGACCTCCCACTCCTAAACTTAGCGCCACTTTATCTAAGTATTGCAACTTATACGAGAATAAATTACATACCAAACGCACGTCAATATGGATGAAGTATCTCTCAATATCGTTAGATAAAATTCATTTTATGTCAACAAATTACAACGAAACAAAGTCGGAATCGGAATCATATGACGTAACATATCAGGATACTGTGTGCTGAGTGAGGTATATGGATAAGGCTATGACGTATTTAAGCATCAATTCTAACGTTAATGTTATTTATGCACCTGTATCGTTTCTAATTAATTTGATAAAGCAAGAAATACGTGTCTTCAATTATTTTTAAGACACGTCTAAAAATTGATTGCATATCTTTCGGACGTATGCGCCATAGTGCTGTGTGGTGACAGCAGAGAAGAATACATTATACATTTATCACTATCACCACTCCTAAGGGACTCACACATTTAACAGAGACTTGGCAGCAGTGCTATCTTATGAACATAACATAACATAATGCCTTTTATCCCTGAAGGGGTAGGCAGAGGTGCATATTACGGCACTTAATGCCACTGTACAATGTAACAACCACTTTTCCCCTATTTATGTTATAAGGCCCATGTAATATGGGGTGAGCCTGTTGCCATATACCGGGTACAATTCCAGACTCCGTGCCACTAGTAAGTTTTTTTTAAATTTAGTAATACTTTGCCCGACCCGGGAATCGAACCTGAGACCGCTTGTCCGGCAGTCGCACTTGCGACCACTCGGCCAGCGAGGCAGTCTATCTAATAAACACCCTTTTAAGACTCATCAACAGCCTATAAATGCCCACTGCTGAGCATAGTCTCTTCTCACACGGAGAAGGTTTGAGTATTAATCACAACGCTTGCTCAAGAGCTTTCAAACTTATAATTAGAAATTATACGTCCAGGTTTCCTCACAATGTTTTCCTTCACCGTGTCTCAGTAGTGTCTAAATAATCTTAGAAAGTACATATCGAGGGGTAACGGGCTATTTGGTTTAAGCGACATTTTGGGCGATATTGAGTTATATATATATTCGGAATCAGCGAATTTTTCTCCGTCGATTGATGCCGGTTTCATTAAAATCGGAGCACTTTTTTGGCGTTTCAAACAATTCTATTTTCGTGTTGTTTCCAAAGTGACAGTGTATTAAACGACATGGATTTCGCATTTTTTATTAAATTATGTACTTGAACCATACCATCATATTAATAACCGAGACATAAACCAGTCACCCTATCTCTAATTAATAAGTCAAAATGAGTTAAAGCGTTTTTCCTGTTTCTAATTTTTACTAGCAAGTAACTTGAATCATTTTGACTTCCCACTAATCACACGGTGTGTTGTCGCTTAAAACATTTATCCGTCACCCAAATACGACATGGTTCGTCTCTTAAACACTTCTAGCTGCTTTTATTTTCCACGCAGGGTGCTACTTAAACCAAATAGTCGTTTTCGTTCAGATATTTTGTTTAGTCATAAATCATTTAGCCCTCCTTTTTTTTAAAATGCATGTCGTTTTATACAGATGATAACATTAATAATGGATATTGAAACATTTTGCCAGTATTCATAAAAATATGAATCGGTCTTTAAATCACTAAATTTTAATATGGTACATTTCAATCATGTCATATGATACTATATTTATTTCATCGCCCGGGTGTTAAAAATCGTGATCATCCAACTGGACTATCGTGCGCTGGCGCTTCAGTCACTCCAGAATGCGTCGAAGACAGACGGGACGCGCACTCACCGCCAGTGTTTACGTAAAACGCTCATCGAAATTGAATCCTAAGTACTTTAATTTCAAGATCAACCTCGCGGTCGTCCGAAGACTTTGGTGACAATAGGCTATTGTGGAAGCTGATGACATACAATCTACGGCTGATTTAGCAACAGCTTTCGACGTTAGCATCAAAACAATATTGGTCCATTTACGTCAAATTGGCAAGGTAAAAAAACTTGACAAGTGGGTGTCCCACAAACTCAATGATCGCCAGAGCTAAGTATGCATCGAGCAGTGCCTTGCACTGCTCAACATAGTTGTAGTAGTAGTTAGTTCAGCACCTAAACAATACCCGAAACGAAAACTTACTCCTAGAAAAGTGATGGTCACTGATGGTCTAGCGCCAGTCTGATTCATCACAGGTTCTTACCAAACGGAGTGAGCATTACTGCGGATGTGTAATGTGAAGAACTGAACACAATGATGGAGAAGCTGACACATCTCCAACCAGCACTGGTCAATCGCTCATCTCCATTGCTCCTGCATTACAACGCGCGACCTAAAGCTGCACAACAGATGGTCTCCAAGTTACAAGAACTGGGGTTGGAAGCTCTCCAATATCCACCCTACTCACCAGACTACTTCTTTTCCAGAATTTGAATAACTTCTTCGCGGGAAAAAAATTCATTACCCGAGAGGCAGTACAAAATGCATTTAAAGAATTTGTTGCCACCCGTCCAGCTGATTTGTTTAAGAAGTATTTTGTGGCAGTTTATTGATGCCCAATAAACTGCCACTGCGTTGGCAACGATGCATTGATTACATGGGTGATTACTTCGATAAATACAAATAAAAAATACATGAAAAAAATCGTTTAAATTTTTTCATACAAAACGGCAATTTCAGTAAATAACCCATTAATTTATCTGATTTTGCTGAATAAATAATAATATAATCGTTGTTCCTATGCAGACTGTTATTATTAATCTAAATAAATACTTTGATATTGTGTTGTGTTTATTTATCCGATGTAAGCACCTGAGATTTTCGGTTGTTTCGATATATCCAGGTTGTTTTATCAGCCATTAATCGTCTTAGATGTAAATAAACATAAACATTTAACGATACAATTTCAATGTTATATGTCACATAAGTAAATTAGCCTGTTACTCATTTTAGTCTAAATTGGTAGTTGAGATAAATAGCTTGCTTCTATTTATTTTGGGTTTCGTTACTTCATACTTTTTGGCTTACTCTGTAAATAGAGTGCATCGTCGCTTAATTTTTTTCCCTTGTAGCCAATTGTAGTTATGAAGTCACTTAAATCATTTTTCCTGACTCTAAAAAAGGGCAGATTGTATTAAGCGACATTTATCTTTGTAATTAAAGGTCCGCTTTATTTGGAATTAGCATCAGCAACTAGATATTTTTATTTAAATTTCAATGCAATTTACCCCGTTCAAATATCTGCAGAAGCGTTTTTGTTATGAATTTTTTTTCGAAATTTCAAACTTTAAAAGGCTCTCCTGTAAAGTTGCAAAAATGTCGCTTAAACCAAATAGCCCGTTACCCCTCGATATATAACTCGGAAAAAGTCACATTGGTACTTGCCGTTGGTAGGTTTCGAACCCGCACTCTCATGCATGAGAAGCGGGCGTCTTAAACCTCCGGGCCAGCACGACACGACCTTTTAAGACTACGATATCCTATTCGCCAGGTATGGAGCTTTTCCTAGACTTATAATCCCTATAAAGGAGGCCAGTAGTCTAACAGTGTAGGGGCGGACGATGATGAAGACTATGGGCCTCGATCGGTTCAGAACAAAGCAGCGTGAACGCAGTATGCGTGCCGGGGCAATACAGACCATCACCTGTCACAGTTACACCCTCTAGACTACTACACCAATACCTCAGCCTAACAAATTACATAAACAGATTTTCAACCTTATGACATTTTGAATAAAGTTTACATTACTGAAATGAGAAAGATTGTATGAGGTAGAACTGTTAAACTGGCATCGTTAATCAAATGCTTTGACATGCTTAACTAGGTGAGTAGTTCCTGATGTGTCCGAAATTAGGCGCGGCTGAAATATGGGCGACTCGGGATTATTTAAATACTTGTTAATGATGTAAGGGTTAAATGACAAATTGTGTGGCGAGTGAATAATTTTGGTTATTTACGGAAATATTTACACTGGCCGCATTACGCAGTATTTTGTTGGTTGTGGTTGCAACTTCGATTACTGAGTACGAAATTACGATAACCAGGAAGTCAAAAGTATACCTAATAGGGAATAGGGATAGTACCTACTACTAATGCAAGAATTTTTTTTTTTTGGACATTTCATAGTCACTGCCTACCCCCATGGCAGACAGATGTAAGTTTAGGTATATATAAACTTTTTTAAAAATAAAAATTCAATCGCTATATTCCAGTAGTGAATTCAATGTGATATGTTATGTATATCAATTTAGTTATAAGTTTATAACAAATAACACCACTAAATCTATTGGTTGAAGGCCTAACTCGTACACAATCATCTGATATAAATCCCCAAAATTTGTTCATACAAAAGTTGTATGTAAACATCAGAAACAAGGTGTATAATGGAGTGAAGAGCGGTCAGCAGTGACCGCTTCGGGATTGATCAATAAATTATTAAATTCTGGCTGGCATCTGCATAATCAGAGAAGTACCTATACAAAAAGTCATACAAACCTGTAACAATCTGCTTCAGCCTGTACTCTTTCTCAAGGGATTCGAAAATTTTCATAACCGATTGCGATATTTTCTTGACTGGCCAACTGTTGATGACTGGCTCATCACTTGGTTGCAACTTTGCTAAAGCTTGTAGTTGATTATTCAGAATTTTGACACCTGTAATAAAAATGCAGCTTTAAATGAATTGGATAGATGCCTAATTTTTATTTTAATGTCCGTCTGGTAGAGTAATATATCATTAGACACGTATTTTTTATTTTCTTACAGAAACGAATACTTTCGACGATTATTATATTGATTTGAATTGTCGCGTGACGTCACTTCTTTTTTACGTTTTAGCCCCCACTCCTGTCGCGGAGAACCTAACGGGTAACCGGGGCTCCGGCTCGACGTGCAGGAGAAGGAACGGGGTGGTTTTTAGTCAGTAAGAGTCTGACACTCCCTCCCGCCTCATCCAGGCGGGAGCAGCCATTCGATGATTTTCCCCCCTTAAAAAAAAAAAAGCCCCCACTCCTAAACTTTGATTCGTTTTATTTACCTACGTGTTGTTTTATTTTACGAAAAAAAAAAATTGGGGGTCTAATATTTTTTCATTACCTAACTTACGGACTAATTAGATTTCTAATTTTCATACCCCGTCATCATCCCAATTCTGCATATTCACTTTACAGATCATTCATATTAATATAAAGAGGAAAATTTATTTGCATTGAATAGACTTCAAGATTAACTCGTTGAGTACCGTCATTATAGACACAATTATAGAACAATAGGTTGCGGTCACCGGTGACCGCTTAGTGTTTGACAGTTTAATGGACGGTGATTGGACACACAGGGTACCCACCAACCCTGGAACTAAGTATTGTAAAGAAATCTTTCAAAAAAAAGAAATTCCAATCAAGTGAAGTTTTTGACCCTTCATTCGCATTTTAAATTAGATAGATCTATTTTTTTAATATGTACTAGGTGCTCTGTCGCAGTTTTTGCTTAGCAAGAGCAAGTTATAAAATTACTACTTAAGGATATTTACCATCAACAACATTCTTCAAACCGTCCAAGGCGTCTAAAAGACCTTCCATTAACTGTTTAAGTTGGCTCGGATAATAATCATCATCACACTCGTGCAACTTCAACGCAGAAATTGCTCTACATAACCTCACTCCTTTATCCCGTATTTTAATCCAGTCATTTAATAATCCGTGCAGTTTAGAGACATGAGAATGTACCGTCTTGGACACCCCCTGGTGATCTTTATTAGGGGTTGTAATCTCTGAAACGGATAAAATATTGTATCAGTTTTACGTGTAGTGGTTACAAAGGTTATACTAATACATAAATTTGTACCTCTTGGTATGAAGTTGCAATTGGAGTCCGTTTTAATTGGTGTTTTCGACATATTGTTATCATTAGTATTCCAGATAACAGCTGTTATTTTATTTTGTTTAGGAAAACATAAACATAACCTTAAAAATGTTCTATTAAGTTTTTTTTGTTGACTGGACTTTTGAACTTTTGGGTCCTTCGCGAAAAGTTGAGTAATATTGTTTATTTGGTGAACATTTCTTTTATTTTCATGTGTTTTATATATTAACACATTATTAAAACTTACATTTAATAAAAATAAATATACTACATTTTTAGTCCTCGTTTTTACCAGTTTTTACTGATGACCATAGGTTGCATAGACCAGCATAGACAAATAACACAAAGTCATTGTCACAGACTAAGCCGAATCGTATGTCATAAATGTCAAAAAATACTGGCAAACGAAAGGAGCTAAACGCTAACACTACGAATTTGTTATTTATTTAGAAAGTAAAATAAAAGTTGGCATATAGGTTATTTTAAGTACGATAAAAATACTATATATAATAAAATTGCTAAATCTCCCTGATCATCATTTCAAAATTTTTTGTGTAGTTTATTTACAAACTGTAGCTACATAATTCTGTGTTACCGTTTTAGTTTCGTCGGCACAATTAACATTGGTTCTCTAAAAGAGCAAACATTATACCATGTCTGGACCTATACAAGATGTTGTAGAGGAAGATGCAGCAGATTTACAGTTCCCTAAAGGTATATTTTATAAAATATATTTCAACACTCTCACATCTCCTTTTAAAGAAAGACTACAAGTTCCAAGTAATGCAAGGACCTTCCTAACAGTAAATTAAACTGTTTAATATTTAGTAAAAATAGTTATTAAATGGTAAATAAAATATTATTTCAGAGTTTGAAAATGCCGAAACCTTGTTGATATCTGAAGTTGACATGTTGTTGGAGCACAGGAAAGCCCAGAACGAGTCTGCAGAGGAGGAACAAGAATTCTCTGAAGTTTTTATGAAGACCCTCACATATACAAACATGTTTAAAAAGTTTAAAAATAAAGAAACTATAGCTGCAGTCAGAAAGTAAGTATTCATTGAAATTATTGATCCTCTCTATCTAGTTAATTCTGTAAAACTGTGATGTTGAAGTAACTTATTACAAAACATATTGAATTTCTTAATTTTTCTCTCTACCTAAATACTGTGACTTAACTTGTTGAGTACCGTCATTATAGACACAATTATAGAACAATACGCTCGGTGTTTGACAGTTTAATCCCTGATCTGCTGGAATGTAGATCTAAGAAGACACAGATTTTTTGTTATCTAGATATTGTCTTGATAGAGGCTAACTAACTAAATGTTAATTATATCTTGTAATATAATAATAATCTTGTGAAACAACCTTTTAACAATAAATATTCTCTTATGTAACTATCTTTATTCTAATACTAATTTCTTTCTTCCAGCCTGCTTCAATCAAAGAAACTGCACAAGTTTGAAGTAGCAAGTTTAGCTAATCTGTGCCCGGAGACACCAGAGGAGGCCAAGGCTCTAATACCATCACTAGAAGGAAGATTTGAGGATGAAGAACTTAGGATATTACTGGATGATATACAAACTAAGAGAAGTTTACAATACTAGAAAATAATTTTATTATTTCCATTTTAAGTTCGATATACTAAGACTGAATTTTAATACATTTTGGATTCAGTAATCTGTGTTTTATTTTGTTTTGTTTCTATTTTGTGTTTTCACATTGTAACTTTTAATTGATGCTTTTGGGATTATAATAGGTAATAGGAGGATTATACAGGATTGTGGTACTACACTCACATACATATAAAAACTGTGTTTAAAAAACTGACTTCAAAAAACAAAAAACTAATACCAAACAAAAAGCAAAAATAACTATTATTAGTACTGATAGGCTACCCACCCCACCCACTGATAGATTAGAAGTCGGCGCCATAAGTTCTATAGAAAATTATTCATAGATATCGAATTTACAATTTTGGCCCAATCTGATATGTGTTTTTGGATTTTTAATTTTTATTTTAACATTTTTAGTGTACTGGTACGTAGATCCGTTTTGCCACTTATAATCCGCATAGGTGAAAAATTCTAATCGGTACAAATGATAAAAGCCCAAACACAAGGTAGTTGCTATAAACCGTTGAAGAGTTCCCTTAACAATTACACTTCTTCATTATCCGACCCTTAGTGACAGTCCTACTACATCTAGATGAAAATCCTCAACAATACAAATTAATCAAGCCTAAAAATAAGGCGGTTGATATGAACCGTTGATGAGTTCCGTCAACTGTCTGTCGGCTCCATCATCAGGTCGACTTCAGACTCTTATCAAGATGTAGTGTTTAAAAATATAATAGGCGCATTACTAGCCCTTACAAGTTTCGAAATTGGTAATGAATTTTGGCAATCGGTCCACAAATGGCCGAGTGATCGGTGAACAAACAAAAAAACAATCAGTCGAACATTAAGTACGTCCTCTTTTTTTTTAAGTTGGTAAAAATAGGTAAACAGATTTTATTATTAACCTGTTGAAATATCATCCCCTAAATTCGTTCATACAAAAGTAGTCTCTAAACATCGAAAATAAGGTCTATAATGTAGTTAGTGGAGAGCAGTCACCGGTGACCGCTTGGGGATAAATGGGCCTGCTCAACCGGTATAATTTTATCAGACAATAGATAACACAGTGTCACGCGAAGATCTTTATTCCTACATATTACCACGGATTAAACGAAACTAGCTGCTTCCGCGAGGTTTAACCAGCTCTGCTCAGCTTCTATTGATTGTAGTGTGATGTTAGATAACCTATGACCCTTCAGCTTTCATGACAAATGGTCTACTATCCAACACAAATGAGTTTAGGGCTTTCAAACAAACAAACTTTTCAACTTATATTAGTATAGATTTAACAGGTTTAAAAAAATGGATATAAAATCAGGGTAATTGGTGGATTTCCTTGAACAATAAAACACCATTTCATATAACTGATTACTGAACAGTGATTGAGTTAATAAATAAAAAAGCTTTGGTTTTAAATCAGTCTGTATATTGGATATGTCTGCAATACAGCAAGATACATTACAGTGAAAACAGATAAAAGTGATAAAATATTGGAAACAAAAATAGTAATTAGAATTTCTTCTCTGAAACAAAACTATAATAAAACCATTCTTATTATTACTTAAATGTAGATACTATTAATATTGATGTTAATTAATGCCTCTAACTAAACAAGCCCTTTGTTGAACATTACTTGTAAAAAAACTAAAGAAATTTTTATCAATAAACCTCAACAATTTTTAGATAACTTAAAACTCAACAATCCTTCGATAATTTTTCTTAATTTCTAATTTTGTCGCCTAAACATTATTTTTAACAAAATGCCGAACAAAAGGCTTGCTTGAATTATAAACTTATCTCAATGGGCACTTTTGGTTTAGTTTAAATGTTAGTATTTAATTCTAATATTGTATTAATAAAAATTACAAACTTATCATTCATCTAAAAGCAAACTTTAAAATAATATTAACCATCTATAAAAGAACTATCAAATCTAAGATCCTAGCCAAGTTACTTTTATGGTACAACTCACCCTTCTCCTACCCTGAACATATAAAAATATTTTATGTACTTTAAAAAACATTTCCAGTCCTTAAATAAAGATGTCCTTTGGAATACTGTGCTTGTACCAGCAGTCTAACTTATAATGGTGGCAATGCAAACATCTTTATTTACGAACCTCAGTCCACATCCCAGTGGTTACTTTAAATTAAACAGTAAGGGGACCATTTATAGCACACATTTATTAACAGCTAATAATTTTTCGGGTCCTTTACTAAAACTTACTAAACCTTAAATTAGGTAACGACATTGGGAGAGGCTTATATAAATCCTAAATTACAACCTGGACCTGTGACATAAGTCTATTATTAGTAAAGCATAATATTGTTTTGGGTTCCAAGTGTGGGGAGTCTAGAAGCGACATGGAAGCTGTTAGGAAGCAATGCGAACATAATCATAAAGCTTACTTTATAGAAAGTGTTTTCACAACAACGATCAAGCAACTCAAACTGTGGATCAATGAAGGCTTCAAGACATTCATAACAAATTAAATGTACATACATATAATCCTCAAAATTTATATTGTAAATTGTTTGCTTGTATATTTACTCGAATTACAGCTATATTGCACTTACTTCAGAAACATTTTACACAGAAATCCGGATTTTAAATATTGGCTCGGCTCTTCTTCCATGTTTAATGTTTTTGCACAATATCTTCGATCAACAATAACAACTAGATATCGGGTCAGCGCAAGAAAATCGTCTCGACAAATAAGAGCTCACTTGAGAAGTGAGCTCTTATTTTGTTTAGTATGCTCCAAACACGGCCAACGTACTCACGTCTCACGATGCCGCAGTGCATAATTGCAAGTTGTAAAAATAACAACCGAAAAAGCAGTATAACGGCTGGAGTGTCTTACTTTTGATAAGTACATAAAGTATAAGTTATATTTTAAGCTTTTAAACTAGTAAATAATATCAAATTAGACAAAATTATCAATTATAAACCAACGCCACCAATGTTTGTGCGTGTGTTGGTGATTCCTTGGCCAAGCCTCGCCAACATTTGTTTAAACAGAACAGTGGATGCATCGAGTCGATTTGTATTGAAAAATAAAATTGTATTGTTTCTTGCTCGTTCTTCTCCATAGGAATCTACACCTTGGAATGAGCAAATAGCTTCACTTTTAAATTTATATTGTTGACGTTCAAAAGTGCCTTCCTGGTCTACCTAACTGAAATAAATGATTTTGACTTACACTTAGACTTTTAATGATAAAGTAAATAAACATATCATACACAAAAACGTACCGCTAATAAAAATTAGTGATGTATACTAAGATCCCGAAATCTTAATTTTCATATTATAAAATTATTTTAGTGTCCAACGCGACTCCATACATACCTCCTGTACCGAAATTCGAAATTTGAAGAAGCAAAACGTAACAAAACAAAACGATATAGATCGCAAGACAATAATGGAAAAATTATCTTTATTTGTTCGACCTTAAGGTTGAATTCAAACTAGATATTGTATAACTTATGTCTTTTAATTTCTACATGACAGGAGTAAGAAAATACTTTTCTTGTCTTATATTATGACGAATGGTCGTAAGTATTAGATAATATTTTGACGATTTATGACTATATTATTAGGTGCCATGGTTGTTATTAGGTTGAGCTTAAAACTATTTTAAAACATTTTTCTCTGTTTGTTATTTTTTTACTATTATTATTCACACGGACAGAACTGGAGCTTGATTTTGTACGTAACCCTTTATCTAGTTGTTATTGTTGATCGAAGCACAATATGTTTAATCACTATTAAAAAATGTCAAATCATTACGACTGTAGTGGCATTTTATACAGCATACATAATTTATGCATACACACAATCGTTATGTAGGTTAAAATGAATGATGATAATACTTTTTGTACATTCCCAAAACGTTTTTCTTCATAGCGTCAGATACTGGTTTTGTTTGTCACATTCGCAGTCAATTCGAAAATGCTATCTGCTGTCAAGTGCGATTGCTTACACAATATAATCGCATCCCAAACACCCTGCTCCTTTGTCACAAGTCGGTCAGCCTGTACACACTTATAGTCACTACGCAGCACCTTCGATAATTCTTCACAACTTATGGATACTGTCCATTTTGTGCAACATGTCCAGACATGGTTACAACAGCACTAGTACTTAGCAGTATCGAAAGTTGTCAAGCCACGATCAACATTCAGATTCGACCGTTTCTCTTACATTATCACATTTGTTTATTGAATAACCAATATCGTAATAATCAATAGGTACTAATTTACATCAGCAACTTGAAATATTATAATCACCACGTTACATCTTCAAATTCGGCGTATATCATAAGTTGTGGCTCTTAATAAAAATTTTGTTTGAGCAATGATAAGATTAAAATACTATATATTCCCAAAGGTGAGCCATCCAAAATATATATTTGCCGTCGAATATTAAAAAAGGTTTAAAAAATAATTGCGTATGTCCAAAAGCAGATCTAACTATGTTTATGTGTAAGTTGTCAACATACTACATTATCAGTCTCGATGATAAAAATGCATTTTGGCCAAAATGAGAAATCCAACAAGTGCGGTCCAAACTTCCCTAAACGAACGTTACGCGAACAAATTCCTCATGTACCTGATACAGATACTGACGAAACATATCAAACATCGAATTTGTGAAACAAATCAACTACTACTGAGTTACGAACTTATTCATTGAAGAGTAAAGAAACAAGTAAGCATGTCCATAATAGGCACTTTATAGTACACTACACTACATAACAAATAAAGTCAAGTTACCTGTATCAAAGTATGAGTAAAGTTTAAAAATTCAGTCTATTTTCTTACTTACATTTTCTTTTATCAAATCCCACAAGTTAAAGCTCTTTTGCATTAGAAAATCGTTCTAGCAACCAATATATCCATAACCACAAATAAGATGATCTGGCCCTTTTAGAAATTTGGTCCGAAGTAATTTATCTTCAATCATTACATTAACAAAAACTTCATGTATTTTGAAAATAAAAAATGACTTATCATACTATAACACTTTAAAATTCTATGCTTGCAACATGTAGTGTTATGTACATAATTTTAAAATAATACATAAAATGAGATCAAATATATATCCAGTCATGTAAACAAATTAAGCTGGAGCAGTGAGTGCTAAAATATCTAAATAAAACATTTTAGAAAAATAGCTCCCTCATTACCTAATGCAATCATTAAAATAATATCAGGGCAATCTTACTTAAAAAACAATTTGTAGGTACTTGTGTATGTATGAAATATTTTTGCCATTTGTTTGGCTTCGTTAGTGAATCTAATGCTGCGATTAAATTGCTTTGGTTGCTCTGTTTGTCAAAGTAGTAATTTGTGCAAAGTAATTGCAAGTCTAAAACGGTTCAATACATTGGGACATTTCTATTTCTTCCTCTCACTCGAAATTTGATGGAAATTGACAAACATTCAATACTATGTGTATCAAAGGACATCTTAATTTCGTCACAATACATTTAAAGAATGTTTATTATTGTCACAACAGATTAATTAAAAACGTGTTATTATGAATAGGTGATAAAACTTTGGATGCCACTAACACGTTTAACTTCTGTAATAAGTAATTAACATTTAGCATTTATGCAGTGCTATGGGAAACTACGCTATTTTGTTACTGTACAAATAAACCACTAGCTCGCAACAACATACCGTCGTGTACAATAATGTTTCATTTGTACGCCACAAAGTAGCTGCGTCGAACTAACGTGGAGTTGGGAACTGTCAGTTCCAACTTCAACAAACATAGGACGTTTAAAGTGAGGGTTAGTGAAACGCAAGTTAATGTTTGGTAGATAGGGAACCCTCTAGTCCGTAGAGTGGGCACTAGCGTTAGTGCCAGTTGGAGGGACGCCGCGCGCCGTCAGCCGGGGCGGCGTCCGAGGTCATCGGTGTAAGTCAGTGGGGGGCTGGCGGGGACGGGGGCGATGTCGGCTGCAGCGGCTGGAACGCAGACCCGAGAGATGGCCGCAGTGTGAAGCCTGGTACTGTTGGCTTCATTACGGACACCGAATCCGACGATGTCCCTTCACCCGCTTTCAGGTTCACCTTTAATAGAATAGAATAGAATAGAAAACTTTTATTTCAGACCGGAGTCCATAATTAGGGTTAGTAACAATTTTAACTTAAATTCTAGTGTTAGTAGGTTACATGAATTAAATTTCGGCATGGAGCCGTATCCACCTTCCCCACATCGGGGAATCCCACCGATCTACGAATACACTGAGAATGCTGTTGGTGCCGCCACGAACGCGAGCCATCAGGGACGCACATCTTTTTCTAATGATGGCGGAAAAACTATCAATATTATTATCTGCAAACATCCCTGACGCACTACATCGCCATGGCAGCCGCAGCAGCACCCTCAGTGCATTATTATACTGAACGCGCAGGTCGCTGTAGGCCCGCCGAGTGAAGCTGACCCACAGGCTGCACGTGTAAAAAGACTGACAATAGGCTTTGAAAAGGGTAACTTTAACCGGCTTCGTACAGCGCGCAAACCTGCGGGCCAGCATGTTGCAACGGACCGCCAGCGACCTACGTTCCCTTTCAATGTCACAATTGTCTTTAAGGTCTTCAGTGACCCAGTGGCCTAGATATTTAAATTTGTCCACCCTTCTCAGTGGTTCTCCACAAAGTGCTACGTCTGGGATACATGGATAAGTCAGACTGCCAGCTTTAAAAACCATTAGTTCGCTCTTAGTGACATTATATTTGAGCCCATGATTCACCGCATAGTCTTCACAAACAGCAATCAGTCGCCTCAGAGCACCGATTGATGGGCTCATCAACACCATGTCGTCTGCGTAGCTAATATTGTTAATGCACACCCCGTCAATATGACATCCAACATTGGTGCTGCTAAGCCCAACAATCAGCTGGTTCATGTACAGGTTGAAGAGTCGGGGCGAACTGAGCCCCCCTTGCCTCACCCCACACTTCAACCGATACACGTCCGAATACGAACCATTCCACTTCACGCTATTGCTTTGACTACTGTACCAGTATTTAAATATGGATACTAATTCAGATGGCAATGTAGTTTCAGATTCTAGTTTACGCCACAAAACATCATAACAAACGAGATCAAATGCCCGTGAGAGATCTAGAAAACAAGCAAAAATAGGCGTTTTCCTGTCTGTATAGTATTGAACAGTCTGCTTGAGACAAAAGATTGCACTCTCAGTTGATAGCCCAGGCTTAAACCCGAACTGGGCATCATGTAATTCAAGGTGATTCAATGTAATTCAATTAATATAGACATTATTCAATGAACATTCATCATCAATATTAACATATAAATAAATTCTAAAAACATTAATTTAGCTAAATTTGATTATAAATGTCAGATTACCTTTTCACAACCATCTGGAGGTTCGCGAGCTAAGAAGCGATTAATTTGCGGAGATGTTCCTAACTTAGACCCGTCGAGATCTGGAGACGAGCACACGCTGCCTCCTGGAATTGACAACAGTTATATTAAACACAAATCACAACAGACTTGAAAAAAAATGTGAAAATGACAAATCATCATTCTGTTAAGCAAATTCAAGGAAATGAAAACTACTTTCACTTTTATTCTGTCTACTGCTATTTTATGTATTTTCTACAGAACTGAAATGATACCCGTAAAAGCAAATAAGCAAAGAATATTTTAACAAAACCATGCTTGGAGACTATCAAACCATTCTGATGTTTTGTGCATCAACTATTATTTGCGAGGGGTTGTCTAAAAGCTATAGTTAGTTATAGACCTGTGGCCAACAGCTCTGCCGACCCACCACTGGAGAGAGACCCCCGCGACGGTGGATCTATGCCCACAATGTACATACAACATAAATATTATTCCTAACTGTGTTGAATATCATCATGTGTATAAACAAGAATATAATCTTTTTAATCCAATAGTCTGTCTACAAAATAATAGAGATAGACACAGAAAAGTACAGTAGTAAAAACTATTAAGATGATTTAGACACTTCAAAGGTCTGTATCAAAATACGAGATCAGATGTTATCAAACTGCTATCAATGTTATCAAACTACAAATAAAGTAATTTGAATTTGAATTTGCTGTATGATTTAGAATATGACGAAATTAAGGATAACATTATGAACAAAATATTACCTGAAGAGTGAGCAGTATGACACAGGTCGTGTGGTGTCTGTGTGTTTACAGAACGCCTCAAAAGCTCTGCAAGAGGCGCGCGGTGCCCTTCTGGTGTCACCTGGAATAAGTGTAAACAAATGTTAAGAAAACATTGATATCATCATATTTACTACATTGAATGTATACAAATGGTATAATTTTCTTATTTGTTCAAACGGACACAAACATAATACTTTTAATTAACTGGGGGTGAAGGTAGTGCTACATAGTTAACTGTATTACAAAGAAAGACTGTTGCACACACAAATATCCAGCCACAAATATTCTTGTTGCTGAACCAAATAATACTAAACAGAAGCATACAACTCTGTGTATATTTCCAATTAGCAGATTTATGTAGACTATTTTTAGTTGGGATGAGGATGTTATTGTTCAAACATTCTTGTGTTACACACTGGAATATTTCAAATGCATACATTTAATAACACCAGTTTGCAGACTACATTTGTATCAACTGTAACAAAAAAGAAATTGCTAGAATAAAATAAATCCTAGTGAACTTAAAGTACTTAAATACTTTTCCATCTACATAAATAGTTCAAAATAAACCTTATGCACTGAACAGATGATTTAATGTACCTTGTCTCTTAGCCGATCTAAATGTGGAGTTTGAGTGCCACTGGCGGGTTGCAGCACAAGTCTCTCAATCTCCTGATTGAGGCCTTCGACAGATGATCTGGCTGCTCTTAATGGGACGCTGCTACCTCCAAAACGGGACCCTAATAAATAAAGTATGCAGTTAAGTAATGATTTGCTAATAATGGTATCAATCTTCAACTCTCTCCCCAAGGTTGGAGATTATGGTAAGCACCTTTTTTGTAGAGAACACCTTTAGTTCATCTATAGACTTTCATGATGATGGTGATGATTAAAGGATTACACAACAAAATTTTGATATTACACTTACATAGAGCAGTGCTCATAGAATGGCTGGAGTAATCTCCGGACGCAGAAGGTTTGTGTGGTCTCTGAAGGCGACTACGTAAGAAACGGTCTAGCTTGTCATCGTCAGAACTGCGGGACGAACGTCCTGATGCCCCACCTCCGTCATCAGTCTGATATCAGAAACAAAATTCGTATTTGAAATGATTGATTGATTCTTCAGTTTTTTTATGATTGTAAAGTTAGTCTAGTCGATTTATTTTAGGTACTATGACCAAGTATACTGCAATCAATAATTATAATAACTCAGGTTTAAATATAAAATTGAATGAACATACACAGAGAATGAGTTATTAAAACAAATTGATATAATATTGCACTATCGTTTCCTGAACATTATGAATACAATAACTTTGTAAAAATAAATTGTATGAGATAGATATGAGAGACCATAAATAAAATATTTTGTTTAAAAATAGATACATACTTGTGTAGACTTATCAATTTGCAACTGGCTAGCGTGTTGATAGTAATCCCTGGACCATTGTCCTTTATGATACAGCGTGTCCAGTGACGCTGTACGTCTAATCACACTAGCGCCAAATCTACTTTTGCCTGTAAAATACATGAAAAATACTTCATTAATTAAATATCCTTACAGAAAGGGTCAAAACCACTACAAAATAATATAGTAAATATATTTGAATGTTGAATAAAGAAAACTAAAGTTTATTGGTAAGATATTATCCCTGGCTTTGCTGACAGAGTGATAGGGTAGCTTAGACAGATCATTTTCTAGCCCTCAAACTGTGCAGCTGAAGGCCAAATGGGTTGCGGGGGCTACGGCTTGAAAAGCAGGAGTAGGAATGGGGTGGTTTTTAGTCAGTAAGAGTCTGACACTCCCTCACAGTGGGAAACATCATTGGATGACTATCACCCCTCAAAAAAAATGTATAGCCCTCAAACTGTATCTAGTCCAAGACATAAAAATATGTCATAAAATATTCCTTTCAATGACAATAGGCACATTTAGATGTTTATAGCTAATAAAACTCGAGAAGTCGGTTGCACAAGTGGTGGTTTTTACTTTTTTTATTTATACTATAGACAAAATAGAGCACAGTACATAGACTATAGAGATACATGCAGTGATGCATAAATTAGTAAACTATTATTTTGATATAATATAGAACAATAGCATTAGTACATAATAAATGTTAATAGAAAAAGATACTAGATGAATGTATACTTCACTACACCAAGGTAAAAATTGGTTTTTCCACAGTGTCTGATTACGTTTGTAGCTAGTCTAAGTGATGGATAATTTGACTTATTTCCATAATGTCCTTCAATATTGATTTGCCCTTAGGTATGCTCTCACTACAAATTCTTAGTAAAATAACAAAGATGGCATAATATTTAATTACAACTTATATTTGAATACTTTCAGTTTTTGCTGAGTAATTTCAAAATATTCAAATGTCACTCTAAGTCACATTTAAGTATAGTTCTACAAGGAATTTACTGTAGTGACAAATTCCTTGTAGGTAGAGTTGCTATGACATTTAAATACAACTTAAAATTAAGTAGCATTTCAGTATTTGGGTGTCGGGAATGTATAAATGTTAAAAATAAGTGTCTGTTAAAACAATACTGCCCGTTTATGTATAGCCCCAGCAGAAGGAAATAGTAATTTTATCAGAAACAGTGAAACTGGCCCTTATGGGTAAGTAAATAGAAATGGGTAAATAGATTCTAATTTGAGAATGACTGCAACAAAAAACTGAAAATGAAGCAGGTAACAATATTGTATTGAATTCTTAGTCTTCCACCTTGAAATCAAATTAATTATACTGAGATCTATTGTTGAAAATTGTACAGAATGAAATTAACATAATTTCTATTCTGTTTCAGCATTATTAGAGGGCTATTAGTGTAAACCTTGACTTCATCTTTTGTGAATTGATCAATTTAATGTTACTGATACCTACATTTCGTTTTTCCAATTGATAATTTCTCTATTTAGGCTGGCTTCTTATAAGATTTTAATGAGTAAGAGATATTTGAATGTAATTTGAATGGCATAATATAGACTACCTTTGTAATTGACAGCGCCAGGGCTTCGCTGTCCAGACAGGGCGTGATCTGGTGATATTCGACGCCAAGCGTTAGTTGGTGACAGCGTCGGACTGTTGCTGGCATTCTTCTTGAGGCCGCCACTCTTCATTACTGATGATACCGGCAGCGTTGCTCGCATAGGCCCCTGCTTGCTCACGGGGCAGTCCGACTGCTTCCTTACCCGACCCGACATTCTGGCTTGCTTTCACACTTCACTATTTTATTGACACCTCTATTTCTTCATCAAACGAAACACTGAACAACTCACTGCGCAAGAAAAATAAGCATTTCATTCGCCGACGCCGCACCAAGCTCTTTGTAGAGGGAATAAACTTGGAGCACAGTAACAGGCCCTGTTGTTACTGTGGCTGCTCTTATTATGCAATATGATAATTAACACTTTCGTAAATGTAATGGGATGTAATAACGGGTGGATCTAATATTCAACTAGCACTTATTACATAAAAACAAAATTACAAAGCGAACAAGTCACATTTTTTCTGCACAATGGATGAATGAATGAAGCTGACAGATGACAAGGGACATCGCGCCATTCCTTTTTTGTTCCAATAAATTTTAAATTACCGCGTTAAAAATATGTACGACTTGCATTATTTAAGCCTAGAATGAGTTAAAACTCAATAAGATATGAAATTAATTATTACCTACGAGAAATATTCCACTTATTCGTTAGCATTGCAATTAACAGCTGATTATTCCGCCATGTCAACTAAGTTTTCTGTTGTCTATGATTCTCATTGTAGATTGTTTAGAGTTTGCTCTCCGTTACACGAAACACATGAATTAAATCTTGTTTACTGTTTTGTAGAAAATATTCATCAATTTGTAGATATTGTCATCAGCCCATGTTATATAAATAGATATAACAGTTGATCGTAATCAATAAAATTATTGTGCTACCATACCATACAGTTACCAGTTCCTTGTTAGGTTGATAAAGGTTTTGCTAGAAAGAAGCATATTTAGAATACTTGCTAATGACCATATTGACCGGCTAACTGGATTCTATTATTATAATATCCATAAGGATTAGAAAATCTCAATAAAACTTTCCTCGGCTTGGGATTCGAACCTGCGACATGTTTGGATTAGTGTCCGTTGACTCTGAAGTCTGAACCTGGTGTATATGTCTATGGCAACAATGGTACATGTACTCAATAATTGATTGTAATGCTTTATTTTCTATAAATAAGGAACTTCATAAGTTGTTTATAATTATGCATCAAGAACTTCTATTTGGTTTAGATCAGGGTTAACAAGTATTACAGAAAAAAGGGGTAAGTAGAACCTGAATAAGATTCCATTATATATTTTTTAAGCTACGGGCAAGGATGTTGAAATTATCAACGTCCGTCGTCCTTGGCTACGGATCTGGCCATACCTTTTTAAAAATGTTTGCATGGCTGTTTCAGTTTAAAGGAGCGTCACACAATGTAGAAACTGAAAAAAAAAACCTCGCTTTTGTGTATCACTGGAGTCCAAAAGAAAGAGTTTATGTGGTATATAACCGTCGTATTTTATTATAAGATATTATATATAAAAAAAAAACAAAGAGACAGACAGTTCGAGAAATATATTAATTATCATCTAATTATCATTACTATGCTAAAATTATAAACTGTAAATATTAATTTATCACAATATAAAAGGATAGTACAAGTTTCTACTGTAAATCAGTACTCATCCATTAAAATAAAATGCAACTTACATAAAGTAACATTGATAAATTATATTGAAATAAATGTTTAACATAAATAATTATGTTTTAAGAATAAACAATAGCATAAATCACTGAACTGATATGTACGGAAACTTGGATAACTAACTAAAATTTTTAATAACGGAATAATAAACTAGGAAATTTACAAATAACACTGTTTCCTTGACACAAACATCAAATGACTCAAGCGCTCTTATAGGTAAATGTAGTATGTATACTCCCATATGAAATCTACGTCTAGAAAACTACATTACATACTAGCTTGCCTAGTGAAATATACAAAAATCTTATTCTACTTGTCTTCTATTCACTACTGGTCGTGGTTTGAGCAATATTCTGCTTCTGTTGAGCTATCCACGCTTGGATCCTCTCTTTAAGTTCCGTGTTGGATTTTACTTGGTCCATGGACAGCGGCGAGCGGTTGAACGGATCCGATTGATCACTCAGGAGATGTCTGCAAAACATACAAAATAAATTGAGTACCGTTTGTGAGTAATAACTTTATTATCTCGAGTCTTATTTTTGGAGGTATATTTCCAACACTCATCTTTTTTTGAATTACGTAATTGATAATTAATTTGGGAAATACTAATCTGAAAGCACAAGTAGTAATATGCTGGATCTGAAGACCTAACATTGGACTTAAGTCCATAAATAGTGATCAAATATATTGTGCTAAAAAAAATTTCTACAACAAATACCGTGCGATAGTGGTCCTATCAACAGTGGTCCGCGAGCTGGGCAGTATAACAGGGTCCATCATAAGTGTGCTCATGATGGGGTCAAGGAACTCTTCAGGTGCGTTCGCGAGGATCTCTTCATCTCGCTGTCGCTGCACTGCAAACTTCTGCACACAAGCTGCCACTTCCCGCAGTGACCCTATTAGACCACCACCTCCGATGCGCGCTGCAGAAAATCAGAAATTATGAGAATAAGATTAGGATTCAATTAGGTAGACCGGACTGATATCACGGCCACACAGACCAGCGTAAAACGACCCTTGCGTCGTGTTTCGCTGTGTGTATGAGTTTTTTTTATATTTCATGGTCCCACATTTGACCACTATCTCGCCTGGTAGTAAGCAATGATGCGGTCGACGATGGAACACGTCGTCCCATAAGCAACCTATTCACTTGGGCCTTGAAGACTCCCAGGTTATAATACCCTTCAGGAAATACAGACTCTGGCAAAGAATTCCACTCTTTAGCAGTGGACAAGGAAGGTTGATGCGAAGCGCTTCGTGCGTGTGGGTGGGATATCTACTATGAATCGGTGATGATTCGCCGATTGTCTTGCCGGTTACCGAAGACCCAGTCCCCAAGTGCCGTAATCCTTAAATCTCAAACCTTAAAAAGGTCTGATATTATTTGGTGGTCTTAGTAGTAACAATAATTACACTTCTTTTACAGAATAAAAAGCATTATATTATTATACAATTAAAAAACAAACCTAACACAGCCTCAGCGAGTGTGAACAATTGCGGCGAGTATGACCGGCCGTCGTCTGATACCGCGGCACAGAACCGCTCGTTGCTGCCCAACTCCACGTACATGCGACAGATGTCCAGCACTGTACTGGCTGGCTCGAACTCGTACTCCTTCATGTCTTTCACCTGAGGAGTTAACATATGCTAGTTTTAGTACATAATTATAGCTTCGTAAACAAAAATGTAGTATGTAAAGGATATAATGTACTATTTTAGATGATGACCACCAAATTCTAAGTATGATCTCCATTATGGGGTATACATATTCATGGTTCGACCAGAATAACAGTCCACGAGAAAGTGATTCGTCAAGGTTACTTAGTATTGAGGACAAATGAAGCACAGGGTCCGTCGTCAGATTCTCACTATGTTGAGGCACTTAGCGCATTCTTTAATTTGCAAACGTATTTCATTTTTTAGATTGTCATTTAAATAAGCGGAAGTTAATTAACCTTAAAATTCTTCTTATTAGGTCCCACAAGATGTAACAAGAAGTAGTTGAGCATGGACGCGATGCGTTCTACAAGTGTAGGATGGCAGAAGACGTATGGCGCGTGCGCAGTGAGGCGGACGAGTGTGCGTATAGTGTCGCGACCCAATATGTTGTCGAAGCGAGCCAACATTCCGATGTGAGACAAGTTCGATAGATTCTGCGCACGCTCCTGTGATGGTAAGTTCGCCCATGCGCCTGATTGTCTGTGCATAATTAAAAAACATTCATTAGATATGACGGGAACAGTATTTTTGTCAGGTCTTCTTTTCTTGAAAATGTTTGCTTCTAATAGTTGAAATTTTTATTGATACCATACTGATATTAATAAAGATCCTTATACCAATTAGCAAAATAGATATTAAGTTATTGATTATAAGTTAAACTAGTATCGAGAATGAGTTAAAATAAGAATAAGTTTGTTATCCAAAGAACATGACAATATAGTAGTATGGTTTATCAAAGGTGCTTGCACTGAACTCTAGGCTTGGTTATAAATATTTCTTATCAGCTATTTTACTTCACTTTATTGTTCCTAAAGTGTACGTACTGTGCAGTCTGCATTGTGCGTATCTGCGCCATGTTCCCGAGGGCCTCGTCTAGTAAGAAGATGGCATCATTCATCAGCAAGTTGACGAAACGTAAGAATATCGGTGGGTGGACAGCCTCCATGTTGGATTCTGCTTCTTTCGCTAGTTGCCTGGAAATCAAATTAACATGAAAAACTAATGTAAATAAAATAAAGGTAGACATTGGTAAAAAAAATGTGCAAGATGTAAAAGTTTCTTAGGTGAATAAATACTTTTTTGTGCAATAAATATCGTGCGACATTCAAAATTAATTTCGGTTTACTGACGCCATTTCAAACTGGTAGAGTTTTTACGAATAGTTAACACGAGTTAGCCGTAATTTTCATTAATATAATATGTAATATTACACAGGTAAATCAAATACTCACGTAAATGCAAATCTGTGTTCTTCCATTTCCCATAGGAAGTCCATGACGAGGTACATGGGGCGGCGGTAGTTGAACTTCTGTTCGAACTGAACGCTCTGACCCGTCATCTCGATACCCACGAACACGTCCAGGAGACAGGGTACTAGCTGCAAATCGGAAATAAAAGAATATAGTAGTTTTAATACTGATAGCTACTTTTACAAAAATTTGACAATATTTAGTAACTTCATCGAGATCTCTTAAATTTTAAGCAACCTCTAAGCTCTGAAAGGTGACATTTTGGTTGTCATCAACAACAGAAGGAACTTCTTAGCTAAACTAACTAGTTTAGGTGCTCCCTTACATTACATTAAGCATCTTTTATGTAAGCGATGGTTGGTAAAAATACGTTAATATACTAATTATACACCGTGAAATCTATTTCGTTTTCGTCCCGAAGCGAAATAGTTCGGTCTTGGTAATAAGTACAATAGTTTTACAAAGTAATAAATTGCTTAAAACAAAAAGTAACTGGTGAACCATTGCAAAAAGCAAAATTCGAAAGCGCATACGATTTCAGTATTTTATCAAAACATCACGCCATGTAAGTCTTGAAGAGGTTTTTCTCGTCGGGTAACACATGCGATGCGAATAATGCCTACAAATTTACGTCTAGTGTTTCAGGTGCTTTATACATCGAGAGCATACTCTGCCAGCACCACAGGGCTCAGTTTTTATCAAATAAGTACCTGCATTCGATGTGGGTGCTCCTTGAACAGTTGTTCTCTGTAGAAGGATGCTAAGCTGCTCAATGGCTGCTGGTCTTCAGGATGGTTGGGCAACATCGCTTCCAAACATTCTGCTAGTCGCGCCCTGGAATATTCGTAGTAAAACATTTAAGCAGCTTTTGACTGATATATTCATGGCGAAAGTAGGTATATTTTAACACGTTAAACGCCATGGGGGTCACCGGTGACCGGCGTTAGCGGAGGATTTACCTTCAACAGTTTTTTATTGGCAGTCAAACAGAAACGTATCTGTGATTCTTTTAGTATTTTGGATAATGTCAATGGGCAACGACCGAATGTATGAGA